TTGATTATTTGCGCGAGTGTGTGTGATACGCGCCAACCTCCTTTTACCGTCTCTCTCTCTCTCTCTCCGGGTGACGGTCGGGACCCCAAGAGGAGGCAAATACTTTCAAGGAGATTGGCCAGGCGCTTCCTCGCGAAGCGGGCGACCTCTCTGTATCCACCATGGGTGCTCGACACCGCGTTGAGGTTAATGATACAGAGAAGAGACAGAGAAAGAAAGTTGGGCGCATCCTTCTTCAACGACATTCACTGATCTTTGCATGGAGTCGGGTTTCGTTTGAACGGACGGAAGTGCGGGTCGTCGCCCGAGCTCGGACCTGGCCTCAGAGCATCGCAGCACACTTCCGCCCTTCCCGATCGCAGACGACGATACCATCTATTGCGATGCGGACGTGCGGAGCCTGCTGCGGCGCACTGAGCCAATCCACCTTTATAACCCGACCAAGGCATGCGATATAGGCGGGAGTGGGTTTGTGCTGATTGAGCAATTTGCCTCCCCGCCTTTAATTTTGCCGTACACCGACCTCACGATGTTGCCTTGGTCCACCGTGCACGCCAGTAGGCGACCGTGGTTTAATTGTCACTGGTGTCGTGAGGGAGACTCGTGCTCGTGGCGACAATTGGTCCTGGGGCACGAAGGGGCTACCCGATTCCCCGAACTCTCCTGCAACGCCGGTGCGCTCCCTGCCCATTTTCGAACCTGCGTTTCGTCAACCAGTTCGACCCCGGGCGAGCCCGTGCCGCGCTGTCCGCACGGACTAGACGAGTTCGGCAACAAAGCCTGAACCTGTTTTCGGGGCCTCCACCCCCAAGGCCCGCGCTAACTCTGCGCCTCGGGGAACGAAATTCCGCCCTCGTCCGCTTCGTCTTTCGTCTCCTCTCCTATCATCCCCGAATCCCCGCCCAGGCACCTCAGGCCGAAGCAAGAGTCCCCCGTTTCGTCCGGATGACTCAACCCCCACGACAAAAAAAAAAAATCCTCGGCCACACCCATAATAACTCTGATCGGCGTCCGAAGTACGGAACGCAGCGCGAGGGCGTGAGGTTGGTATCACAGCTGATTTGTTTTGGCTCCGAGGTCCCCTTTGAGACGACTGTCCATTTTTGTTAGGATCTGCTATTTATTTCGTAGATTTTTCTTCTTCTTTGCCTTGTTTTAATTACGGATAGGCTGGCGCCCCAGCGCCGCCGAACCACGAACGCCAATGTGAAACCATGCGCTGATTGAGCGCGTGGTCGGCGTTCGAGTTTTTGAGCGCCGCTCAAAAGCACGCTCGACTGCGCCTTGAGCGCCTCGAGCGAATTCGCGGGCGAGGTCGTGGCAGGAAGGTGGAAGGTCGGGTGTGGGTTTTCAGGGTTCCAAGCGGGTGGGTGGGTGGGTGCGTGGGACCGTGGGGGTCTGGGGGTTCTGGCACCCTGAATACGACCGTTTGAGTGAGTAGGGGA